GAAAAAGAACACCAACTGGGTATGGGCACATGCTTGGGAGGCTTAGTGACCACCCGATGGGAAACTAACCAGGCTTAGAAGCCTAGAGTAGCCTACTACGGGGAGCCTCGAAGGATAAATAAAAGGATTCTGTGTAAAACCTTACTGAAGTCAAGCTCATGACTGAAAAAGCTATGGCCATGGTTAGCAGAAATTGGCTGTGCACAAGAGGAACGGGGAAAACGACACATTGGTGGACCTTGGGGTTCCAGGGGATTGTATTTGGAGTGGTGCCGAACTGTTATTCACCAACTGTAATCGTCTGCTTCCTCCGTAAGTGGTGGTGAACAAGCTAACGCCGAGCCAAACAACCCCCAGCCCCCTAAATTGCTCCAGCGTCCGCAGATAACAAAAGTGTAGATGAGGGTTTAACGTCCAGCGCTCACAGTCATTTGCCTGGGTGTACTGCGGACCTCCATAAATGTTGAAGTGCAGAGGCACGAGAGAGTTCTTTAGCTTTTGCGAGAAAGAAAATGAAGGGAAATTTTTATTTCCGTTGCACTTCGCTGGAATGTTCTGGGTTATGAGTTCAACGGGCAGAAAATTCCTTTCGCAGTCATTGTGACCTGCCCATACATTGCTTGCAACCGTAGATCTCGCAGATCTTCATATAGTCGAAAGGCGAGGCGTCATCGGCGTTACCGATCACATCCTGGAATTGAAACATCGTCAATCATTTCTAAAAAGCGGAAATTGAAGCGCCTCCAGTGTTGGCCAACTAATTTTGGAACGCGCCATACATCCTACTTCAGACTGTACCTCTTGCACAGTTTCATGTCTAGTCACTGCTCTTTGGAAAGGAAGTGAAATCACCTGAAATTCCGGATTTTTGGTCCGCATGCTGATTTTGTTTGGCTCCGCGAAGGCCCGCTGTCCATAATGCATCACAGACGTATAAGTATACGGTACATTGTAAGTGGTAGCCTTGGACGGTGACACTTTCGTAAATTGATCGTGGTATTCTTAACATTTTTCATGATACTACTGATAATTTCCTATTATTCTCAGATTTTGGACTTGGCCAACTATTTATTTATTTATTTATTTATCACTGACCACATTCGCTTGATCCAGTTTAGGACGACTTCATTATTTCTTGCAATCAAGGCCGCTCCTCCCGCTTGGGAAAATTCTGGCAGCAGACAGAGTACAACATCCTCGGAATTTTCTGCTTTGGTATAGAAGTCCTCCTCGCTAATCCCTCTTTTATGGATTTGTCGCAATGGATACTAGAACATCAGCCCAACCACGAAGGGAAAAGGGGTTCCGGTGTAGGTAAATCAATTTCAAACATGTTAACCGATAAAATAGGTCCAGTTTGCACTTTATCTGAATGCCCCTCCAAGTTCATTAGCGCCCCCTCCCCCTAATCATTTGCCGAGCTAAAAAGCATACCTAAGTACTGAATGGTGAAACCAGCACTCTAATTTCATTTTCAAAGTTTCAAATTCTTCTCAACAGCTCAACTGACCTTTAGCGATATTTTCAAAGATAACATCGATATATTTGTCGCGATCGTATCTCTGATGTTCATGCCATAAGCCAATGACATGCATCAACTCGTGCATAACAGTAGGCGTCATCATGCATCTGAATACATCCCATACTTGAGGGCAAAGTAGGGACGTTTCCAAGTCAGCGTTCAGACTTCGCGACGGCGACGCTTCGGTCGCGCGTTCGATGCATCGAAAGCATGCGCATCGATCGCGTCGAACGCGCGATCGAATCGCCACCGTCGAGAAGTCTGAACGCTACCTAGGAGAAAGTCAGAAAGTGAATCTGCGACTTCTTTTTCCAGAGTTCAGAGAAGTTTTTCACCAATAAGCGCGAAGCGAGCATAGTTGTGGCAGTGCGATAGAACTTCGAAAATGAGAGCTTCGCTGTTGATCCGCACCAAAGAGGGGACATGGCCAACCCCGATAAAGGAGTAGTAATTTGAAGTACTGAAACAATCGCAGTACAACCCAGATAATTCGAAGTACTGGAACACTCGCAGTACAACCCAGACGTGGGCCCCAGAGAGCTTCGTTTGTTGAGCTTTGAAAGGAAACGAAGAAGATTCCGATTATAAGACGTCATTGCTGCGCTTCAAGGTTGGCTACAGATCCAATCGAAAATTT